AATCGGTAATATACATGCTCAATGTTAACTTGGTGTGGATTATTCAAGTTCCACCGGTCAGATTCCCTCTTGTACTTCTGTGCTATTCAATATTTCACTTCATTGCCCCTCTACTCATACTTTGTCCTTGTACTTTATTCTCTTTCTTTACACTTGAGACTAAGAATTTTGACTCAGACATTTTTAACTTGGTTGCACACACACAATTACTGGTCACTAAAAGTAACTGAACCAGACAATGTATGTCCTCTTATGTGACTGTGGCTCACATTGAAAACGTTAAATCAGTTCTTGTTTTTTCATCACTGTATTAATTTACCACACTGTTACTTAAGTACAAAAGCCATAAATACATATTTCATCACACTGTTGTTGTTGTTGTCTATACATTAATCTCATATGTAGGTAAGTATTGAGAGAGAGAGCCCAAGCACATCCCAGAATGCATTGGATAAGCCTGGACAAGTCACCAGTATATCACAGCACATTTAGACTGACAAACATTCACACTGGCTCTTGTTTACTCCCAGTATGTCTGTGTAGCTCACACAGACACAGCTCATCTAGACTTTACTGTACTGTAGGCGTAAATGGTGCTGTGGGTGTAGAGAAAGAATCATCAGTTCGGCTTAAAAAAATATTTTTAAATTATGTGAGAATGGATGATAAATGTATTTTTTTTTTGCCCTTTTCACATTATCATGGCACAAAATGCATACACATGCAGCTGTTCCTGAATAAACTCTTATACTATGTTTGAACTGATCAAGATTAAATGAAAATGTTATTGCTAAATGCATAAAAATAATAAAAATGCATGCACCCATACACACACTTTTTGGGGGGCAATCTAAAAAGAATGTTTTTCGAAAACCTGAACAGAGCTGCTCGTGGGATTTTCATTTTCAGGCAAGGGATTTTTGCTGGCTCTGCAGAAGGCACACAGTCATGATTGAGTGGTTTTCCTTGGATCAATAGTGGACTATGCTGTATCAAGGACAACAACAGATTCCTAGATCTCCGCCATCCTTCTCCAACACCTGCAACAAGCCCTTCATTGAGAAGACAGGGTCCTATGGTTAAACGACAGACATGATGCACAGTCACGATTAAGCACTACACCCAGAGAGTCGAGGCAACAGCGGTAAAGCAAGTTCTCATTAGTCACCCGTTCCCTATTCTGCTATCTTGCCTGGAGCTACTCACTGCACATGCTTTGAATATTCACATCTCACATACACACCCAGATGCAGATGTTCAAATTCTAATTCAAAATATATTTGAAATGGAATTTGATTTTATTTTAATGGCATGTTTTATGAGACTACTGGACATCTCCTGAATAATTACAGAGCTGTATCATAAATGCTTATTGGTAATATGTTTTAGTGTAGCCCTTAGCTGGTCTTCCTGACTAGCTAACTGGCTGGTTGAGATGGATTTTATGCAAGCCGCGTAGGAGGTTTACATATTACCACACTGCCTTCATGGCCTACAGTTCATCTTCTTGCTTGTTTATCTGTTTATCCCTTGCCATTACTGTAATTAGGTCTTTGTACTGGAAGCCATAGCAGTCGTAACAAGAGCTCAGAACAGCATGTGAAGACAGAATGATGGTAAATAGGGCAAAAGCAAAATGGACTATGTGTACAGTGCACTCTCTGAAGAGAAATAAGTCAGGGCCCTGGCAGCAGTGAATGCTGTAATTGGTCCCTTCAAAGAGCCCCTGCTTTGCCAGGACACAATGGAATGACCTTTTTGTGATTGCAAACTTCTATTAGTGGTGAACCATAGTGGTCAAAGCCAAGCCCTTCTCCTTTCTACTGTGCCATACTGTCGTCATTCTAATTATGTAATTCAAGTGTTTTTACAGCATCAACATTTTGTCATTTATTTTAAGAGGCTGCAATCTATGTTACTTCAGTTGAAACAAAGACTCACTTTTGTTTTGTTTCTTGCTGTTCATGCTGTGTCATTGTTTGAGTCATTTTGGTTGTAGAAGAACACACTCCCTGTACGTCAGCTCCAAGATTCACCATCTGGCTGTTCTTTGAAAGAGTGACAATTTTCGACACGGTTGTTTGAATTACTAATTTGCTGTGGAAGTCCTTCTGTGACGTAAGCTTCCACAGGAAATGCAATTTTAATGCGTAACTGCATCACTTGCTGAATGAATGTTTTCATTAAGTGTTTGAAGGCCATACACATGAGCTCTAATTATAACTTTTAAATTAAGGAACTGTTACACAGATTGACTTTACTAGCACATAACAGCACCTAAAATAAACATATGGACTGTTCCACTGTAATATTTTTTCATCTCTAAAAGTCACTGCAAAGGGGAACCTGCTAAAAGTGTTACTTCAGTTGAAACAAAGACTCAATTTTTCTTTTTAAAATTTCTTTTTAATTTTTATTTTAATTATAAAACGTTTTTCATAATCCTACTGTCCTATCCTACTTTGATAAAGGGTAAAACATGCAACAGACAACGCTTCAGCAAGGTTGAGACAGTGCTACTCATTCATTTTCACCACCCATTTCTTTCAGCCAGCGAAAACATCCAAGGGCCAATATGCTAAGAATGTTGAGCTATCAAGTTTGCCAACATGCCTTGGACTATACTGAATACCAGATGCCACCTAGAGAAACTGCTAAATCAATGACATGGTGTGTTTAACTGAGGGAGAAGTGGAAAGAAAAGAATTGTTTGCTCAAAGCTAACAAAACACAACAAAACAAGCAGTATTTCCAGAGGATACTTAATTTTGTGTCAGTTTTGATACAGGGGCTTCCTCTTTCAAAATCTGCATTTTAAGACTGGATGCATCATAACGAGTTAACAAGGTTATTTCAAAGGCTCCACCATATGCGGCTTAGAAATCTGAAGGACACACACAAATCCATTCTTTACTGACTTGGTCACTTTGATTCTTTTGTACACACTAAATTTGTAAGGCATTCCAATCAGATTCAGTGTGAAAATAAGTGAGGGTATAGGAGCTTCATCGAAGATATCTGGACACTAAGCAAAATTTCAATACAATATATCATTACTTTATCGTTTTCTAGAACCAATGCAGATCAATGAATGGATGGATCCCAGCTAATACTAATATAAACCATTTAGACTATTTTTTATTCATCTGTAGAGCACCTTGGTGGTTTAGTGGTTACGGAGGATGCCACATACTATACCCGGTTCAGTTTCAGCCAGTGACCTTTGTAGCCTGTCTACATGTTCACCTGACAGTATCAATATAAAGGCAAAACACACAGAATTATAGTATTTCTACTCTCATTCTGTAAGTTGTTGTCTCTATATACATATGTAGGGTAATGTGAATTGCTAAAACTAATTGCATAAACTGACAACCCCCAACAATAATCAATTTTAATGAATTAAGTATTAATTTGGTTTTGCAGAGAGAAGTTCTGAAAGTCGGCTGGTGGCAGACTGATGCTAAGCAACAAGCTATAAACAGAGCTGCAGAGATCCTGTGTGAAGACATCACTTGAAAGTGATGGATCTAATTATAAATGTGTGTAAGCTATTTGCTTTACAGGATTAAAATTACCCCACAACCTCTTTGCCCACATGATGTGATCTCCTGCACATAATTAACAACATGGCTGATGTTACATAAATGTCAAAAATATTGATTTTACATCTGATCAGTAGACCAACAGCAGGAAGCATACTGTACCTGCCTGCCAATCACATACTCCATCAAACTGTCAAGTCAGCCCCCACCAAGATGGGTCCAGCTGGTGCTTCAGTTTGAGCGAAAAACCCTGCTGCCCATATGCAATACATAAACATTTTTAAAAAGCTCAGATTTTAAGGCCAAATACTTCATTAAAGGTCGTCAAGGTTGTCCCATTCCAAAGGCTCCCCTAAAGCCACTGAGAAATGGGGATGTTGTACAGTATCATTGGGTCTCAAATTACATTATACGAGATGCACATGAACCCAGGGAGCAGAAACATACTGACACATTCTCATGATAGTTTCTCTGGACATTTTCAGCATTTAGTGACAGTACAAGTTGCTGGAAGAAAATAAAGATACGTTTGTATGGGACATTTTTGGACATGTCATGCAACATGTTGGTAAATGCTAACCCGAAATATGCCAATAAGTTAGTTCTTCCATGTGGTGAAAAAATGTTAAATCATCCCAGACCATGCTGGGATGAGGCCCCCTCTCCTTCAGCAGTGGCATCAAAGATAAATTCCTTGCCAAATATGCTAGATGTACAAAAACGTATATGCCTTAAGCAAAGTTTTCACTAAAACTGTAGCAACACAGGATATAATACTAAGTAAATGTATATCACCTGCAGGGAACACCCATTGATCACGTGTTTGTGATCCCACTGCCTAAAACTAAAATTAAAATATCATGCACTTTCCATTCAAAGTCATGAGTCAAATTTCAAGATGTCATCAAGTCACACACTGGAGCTCTGACTCTAACATCTTGATACACAATGGTCAACAAATCATTCGTCATTGGTGCTAAAGGGAACTGTTGGTCTGTTGGCAAAAGCATCAGAACTATTAAAATCCAGGGCTTTGACTACTACTCTCTGACATAGGATGAGGAGTCATCCTGGCTTTTAGTTCTTTCTTTTAATGTTCCATGTTGAACAGAAGGCACTTTTCATGACAACTGGGAAAATAGCCTGTGTTAAAACTTAAACATTTGCTGCTAATTAGGGTGCACTAAGCGTAGCTTGCACAGTTTTCCCAGTAGGGGTCCAACATGCTTAAAACCCACTGTCACAAGTACAGGTAAATGGCTGTACTTGTATAGCACCTTTTTAATCTTTCCGACCACTCAAATCGCTTTTACACTACATCACATTCACCCCATTCACACACTGGTGGCAGGGACTAAGGAGCTCTGCCAATGAAATAGAAATACACATTCACAGCCGGTGATCAAACCACCGACCTTCTGATAAGTGGACGATTGCTATACCCCCTGAGCCACAGCCGGCCCAATCAGCTCAATCAGATCAGATCAGCCCATGATGTGAATGGGTAACAGATACTTCCAACAGAGTCTGTTATATATAGTTTATTTTCCCATTTGTGCTGGAAAAGATGTTTACCACTTGGGGTCTTCAACATTCTCCAGTTTCATAGACTACTTCTGTAATATGTGTATTGTACCAACCATCAACATCTCCTCCCCAGCTCCTCTTACCAATACACTATAGTCTGTGTGAAGGCACAATGTAAAATGTTTGTTGCTGGGAGACACACCTCCAAGTAATAAGAAATCCAGGAAACAATGTCCCAGTGTCTGTGATGAAGATACTGTTCATATATATATATATTTTTTTTTTTTTTAAAGTTTAATATTTCAACTAATGATCCACATCAAAATCAACCATGAACTACTTGCAGAAACAAAGATTAAAGTCTTGCATTGGCCTTCACAGTTGCCAGACTTGAATGCTACTGAATATCTGTGATTATATCTCAATGGTGCAGTGCATAACAATTACCTATGAATATTTCTGCACTAGAGAAGTTCTGCAGGTATGTGGATAAAAAACCCTGAAGCAAAAATGGATAGGGAGCTACAAGGAACGACAAGGCTGCGGTTTCTGACACAGCAGGTGTTTCTAAGTATGTCTTGTTGAAGAATTGTTCCCTGCAGAGGTTGAATTTACTTCTTTTCACTTCATCTGTAAAATCAACATTTGTCCAAGGTGACCAAACTTTTATATAAATAGATATTTATTTCCTGGGCTACATTTGCATTGTGTCTACATTATTTGTATAAGTTCCTTTTTACTGTCGCTGGTTTTGTGCACTCTGTGCATTGTACTTGTGGATTTCCTCCAAAAAGCATGGCTCCCCCCTACCGCTAGTCATCCCCTCTATTTTCTGCATGTTACGTGAGTAGCATTGATGTAACATCCCCAGACACTTCCCTGGGTTTCTTATTCAGAAGGTATAGGGCCTCTAAGTAGCCATCTATCAGAAAATCAGTGCCCCAAAACCAGTTCTAATTGTGCTCAGACTCTCTGGTGGCTGCCAATGCTGCATCAGATTAAGTGTGTATGACCATCCCATTAATTTCCAATCCATTGTTTTGTGAGCACTGTAGCCCCAGTGAACGTGCACGTTGCTTGTTTTCACCCTTCAACCCTGCTTTGTTTCTTTCCCTTGCTTTCTCTCTAACTTTGTTAGTCTCCCTACTCTAACTTCTTCTTCATCCCTACCCCATCTTTAAGCCTATGCACATGAAAGCAGGGGAGCTAGCCCGTCACAGCCACTGCTGTAGGACATACTTGTTTGTCATGGATGCCTGTCAATGGGCAAAGAGGAGAACAGCAAAGAGTGTTGCTCTGGGCAACACAGACCTCCTCCGGTATGGTGACTTCAGTCACTGGGTACATCTGTCTTTATGTCTGTCATAAGTGCTTTCAAGTGCCATTAGAGATGGCTACACTGGCAGATTAATCAGGTTTACCCCTTAAACTGCATTCACCTCATTATTACAAATGCACATTGAGTGGACAACTCTTGTACCACATAAATTCCAGTCTAGATCATGGCACTCTAAGGAAATTGCATGTGAAATTATGCACAAGACGTTATGTGTTATGCACAAGCCACAAAAATGGCATCTTGGGTTTGACTATTTAAGACATTTTATATTCTCTTGCTTTTTATGTTTTGTTTCTTTAGCAGTCTACCTGTACAGTGTTTTTTTTTTTTATCTGCCTGTTAAATTTATACAAATTGGTTTAGGTTTTTCAAGGTCATATGACTCACACTAACAAACATTAGACATTCAGCAGAAAGAGCGTGGGAACTGTAGTGTTCTTTTCTTGCCACTATTTCCTCAACATTAATTTCTAGTTTGGTCAACCAACTCAAGAGAAAAGTCTTTGGGTGTTTAGCTCTTTGTCTGTCATTTCGCACTGGCCTGGTAGCAGAAACTCAGCTTGTCTGAGCTTGTTTGCTGGAAATGGGTGCATATATAGAGGGTTGATAACAACCAATATGGAACAACCATAGAGTCTGAATATACTACAATTAGATACTGTGTGTTGATTCTCTGTAGGTTTGGTAGTCACCTACCAGCAACCTTGCCACATTATACAGACAGTTTAATTACACAAATATTTGTTTAATTTTAATATCACTTAATGGAACTTTAATTACACCTCTCCCCACCAATCATTCTTAATGTGTATGAAGTTATAGCTACCTTCCTCTCCTTCTGGTCCTGTACCTTGATGTCTTTTTGCCTCTGTCACTCCACCGCCCACCTTCCTCTACCTCTACTGATCCCTCCAGCAATATTCCATGTTGTTGTAACTCTCACTTTGCATCTTTTAGCGCTCCCTTTCCCTCAGATTTACTATCCTCTCTCTTTCTCTTTGAGATGTGACTGTCATGAGATGAAAAACACATTTTTGTGTTTCTTTCCCCTCAGTATCTCACCCTATCTATTTGACTGCATTTCTCCCTTCTGCTCTGTCTGCCCCCTCTCACTTCCACCCTATATCAAGCAGAGAAGCACAGTCAGGAACTGTTCAAACAAAATGCTAATGGCCTGCTAATGGATCCCTCCTTTCCATAGCTTTGCATGGTAGCTGGCAAACTATAGAGTCTGCACAAGAGTTTACACTATGTAATGAGACAAAGGCCCAGCCTGTAGACATACACTCATAGCCACCTTCATAGGTACACCTGCTTTCTATAAAGTGAAGAGGTGTTGACTGTTTAACTAAATATTAGGTTACCCAAGACATGTGGTCTAAGCATTTTTGAATTGTATGATGCCAGCACCTCAAGCACTCAGAAACAAAAGCTGTTTAGAGGATTTTCACTCTCTGCTCTTTTCACTACCCTTGTGTAACATACAAATGGATGAAAAATTAAAGAAAATAAATAAAGTGTCTTATTAAGGTGTTGAACCACCACGAGATACAAGTCTGTATGTATATCAAAGTTTTTATTTTGATGTGGTAGAGAGACAGCAAATTTGCAGGAAGGATGTCTACTAAAGTTTGATTAATCTACGCTTTAAGGTGCTTTTAGGTTTTAACATTTCCTCAGGTTTTCTACTGGCGAAGATTCCTCCAAACACCTTTGGCCAGGAAACACCCCTGATAAGGCCTTGGGTGTTCCATGCATCCCAATATCTATTTTTAAGCCAGGCGTGGGTGCTTTGTCCTCTCTCTTAGTAGTGCCTGGAATTCTTGCAAGAAAAATGAATCCACATCAGGTGCCCAAACGACCTCTTCCGGTTCTTGTCATTGTAGAGCAGCAGTCGCTTCACTCCAAGGTCTCTCCAGATGACTAGTGCTCTCACCCCATGTTGTAGTTCCTTTGGTTGTTGAAACGTGGTAAATTATGTTTTAATTATTCACTTTTTTGTAGTGCATAACAATAAAGTGTAACTAGAACCGCATAATTATGTTAAAAATCATCTAGTAATGAAAATTAAGGATAGATAGAGCAAGCATGTGTAATCATTTGTATGCAATGTAGTCTCTAAGTCATTTGTAAATGCATCTGTGTGTTGGACTGGCAAAAAGAAAGTGAGAGAAAACAACTGCTTTAATAAAGTTTCATTTTAAGTGCATATGCAGGATACTGTATATACATGTAAAGAAAACACTATCTTATAAGAGTAAATACAAACTATACCAATTTGTTTGCTCAGCTATATTCTGTGAATACATTACACAAAGACGAGAATGCAAATCTGCAGTCAATGGAAAAACCATTCAAGCCGACCTATCACACTTGAGAATGCAAATAGGCAGGACATTTTCTGAAGTGCTGCACAGTGAACATCACCAGAAGGCATGTCAAGAATGAAGCAGTGGGTACTGTGATTCTTGATTAACCTGTCGTAAAATACATAAGCAGACAGGGCCAGGTTGTGCTGTAAACAGATGAAACCTCTTACCCAAGGTGGGCACTCAGTCCTTCGAAAGCCATTTCTCAGCATTATCGATTCATTCCCAGCTCGCTGAACTGAATTACATTCGATCCAATTTGGTTTCCCACCTTTTCTCCTCTGCAGGACAGGAGCCTTATTTGCATGAAGTTGCAATTGAAGCATACTGTAGTGTGCAGACACATGAGAACAAGGGAGAAGAGTTTAGACATGGCAGCATAGCTATAAACTGAATTATGGCATGGATATATTGCTGCCGACCTGCTTTTTTTTAAATTTAAGCTCATTAAATAGAAAAAAATATATTGTAAAATATTACAGTTTTGCTAAGCCACAAACTTTAACCACAAATAAACATTGTACTATTACACAGTATAACAGTAGTTTGTGTTTTAGCCATTTCAGCTGACTGCCATACTATCAAACAGCAGCATAATCTGGTTTCAAACATTGATAGTTGTCCTTGGTAGTCATCCGTTGTATGAAAGAGGGTTGTCTTGGTAACCTTAGACATTCCTGGGTGGAGGAAGAAGCTCTGTTGTGTACAGTTTCTGTCAAAAAAGTCACATGTAACTTACAGCAGTCAATACATGCCAGTTGGCACATTCAGTCTAGTTTCTTGTATCCTAAAATACACATCAGCATTGCTGCATGTTTGCTTAGGACAGCCCAATAGTATTACTGTATAATGATGTGTGGACAACCCTGCCACATTTCCCTCTTTTCAGTAGAACACATCTGGTAAAGCCAGGGGCTGCTGACAGGACAGCAGGCTTATTAATGATTACCTTCAGCAGGTGTCCCATCGTACTGTATCCTCTGACCTTTCCCTCTGAAGAAAACAGTCGATGGACTGCAACAGCGCCCAGTCAGATGCCCTTCCTCCTCCTTCTCCTCAACCATGTTAGAAAGCCAGGCAGGCTCAAGCAAGGAAGGATGAAAATATGTGTTACTTTAAAAGTCTTCTTCATGTTACTATGGGTTTGAAAAAGTAAGCTATTGGTCTATTTGAAGTGTATCATTACACTCAGGTTTTTGAGGATATAATTAGTGTGAATTTGTGCTTTTGTTTCTTCCTGAATCTTTTTTATTTTTAAATCTCCTTTCCTTTTTCTTCTCCTTCCCCGCAGAAGTGTTTTTTCAAAACACTGCATTCTGTGCTTTATGCCATAATTATGCACAAATGTGGGTCAACATATCCCTAGGATGAAAACTCAGAATTGATTACATATCTTGACAAGCACTCCAGCTATGCCATTATCAAATATTGCCTAGAATCCCTGAGCAACACTTAGGGGCGAATGAATAAATTCACCCTTCATTCTTAAGACAGTCAAATGGGTTAGTTATCCCCATATCACCCTTATTTTATGCTGACAAAAACATTTTAATGACAGGTCTTAATGATGTCTCATCTGTTTTGTACCTGTATGAAAAGTGAGGTGTTATCTAACACCCCAGATCCCCGCTGAAGAGCAAAGCATTACCCCAGGAGTATCTTTTTTTTTATTTCTTGAGTGCTGTGTGTTCAGAAGAGATATCATGGATGCCACCACTTCTGTCTTTGCTCCTGTTAGAAGCTCCTGACAGGCTATATAGCCAGAATCTTCCTTCTGGGAAACCAGCAGGACATTCCTCAGATAGAGACCCTTTAAAGGGTTCCAGTGGTTACGGCTCTGAGTGAGAGCAGAAGCTCCTATTAGTGTTACCATTTTACTCAGAGTCCATCTGAGCTGAAGGTAATTAGGAGGCTTTTCCATTTCTGACTGAAAAAAACGTGATTTTTGTCTTGCTAACTGAGTAAACATCTTAATTTTATTTGATTTATGCTTTGTCTTATTTTTACCTCAAATACTCAATTTTATCCCCCCCCAAAAAAATGGAAAATAAAGTAACATTTTCTTTTGTCTCACAATTGCAATACGTTTAAATACATTAGATATTTTGGGTAGGCATTTTCACATGTCATATCAGAAAAAGCATAGGTGTAATCAACATTGGTTGTATGCCACATATGGGTTTTCAATTTGCAGGGCCCTGCTATTGTTACTAGGATGCTCAAATGGGATGGAAGTATTGTTCATGGTATTAGCTACACCTGTGCTTTTCCTGCTGTGAGAGTCAAAATGTCTGCTATGAAAAAGGTGTATTTGCCTAGAATGTGAAAGTGATCGCTCAAATACTTAATTGTAATGTTTTGGTTGTCACTCAGTTGCAGTAAATTAAAGATGTGATCTAATTCAATTACCCTAATTAAAAAGCATGATAAGGGAGACAAATAACACTGAATGCAAATTAGCATTATTTGCAGGTTTAATTCAGGTCAGACAATTACTATTTTGATAAGTGAGTTTGAGAGCCATATGAAGTAATTTATGGTACAAAAAGGCGGTTTTCTTTTTCCTCATATTGTTGCTTGTATGTGTCAAGTGACAAATGCAGGAAGACGGCACTGGCAAATATAAACGGTGCTGACAATTGGATATACACCAACAGTGTTTAAAAGGGCACTTACTAATGTATTTGCTAAACACCACAAACTATGCCCTCATAATTTGAATAGACATCTGCCTGACAAAGTATCACCGAGTTGAACATTTTTATTTGTTATGGTGTTATTGCATGGCATTACAGTATAATGTGCTCGTGTTGCTTTATCCAACCCATGTATGTGCATCATCATCCTGAGGGAGCCCACACTAAGCCTGTCATCCAATTAGGACTAAATCTGATTTCACTAAAAGGCTCCATCATTTAGGAGGTCTTTTAGGGAGCAGGCATTGAGATGCATTACAACTAGGGAATTGTTTGCATTCATTTTCACAGCAGTTAGCACATTCTGCTTCAGCTCTTAAGCAAATCTGTTACTGGCTTACGTTTGCTAGGGGCAGCTTGCAGTTAGGTCTATAGTCAGAACATCATGTGCTTCATTATCAAGTCACAAAGTAACAGAGGACTCCTATGCTAGTTCCAGTCCCTCCCAAATCGATCATCTTGTTGATAGTGCTGCAGGCTTGCTGCGATTGACACTGGACTCTGTAGCCCCTCTAAAAAAGAAAATACTAAAACAAAGACTGTTAGCTCCATGGTATAATACTGAAACTCGCAAATTAAAGCAAATATTGCGGAAACTTGAGAGGAATTGGCGTTCCACCAAAGTGGAAAATTCTCGTTTAATTTGGCAAGATAGTCTTAAAACTTATAGGAAGGCCCTCCGTAATGCCAGAGCAGCGTACTACTCATTCTGTCATTAATAGAGGAAAATAGGAATAACTCCAGGTTTCTTTTCAGCACTGTAGCCAGGCTGACAGAAAGTCACAGCTCTATTGAGCCAAGTATTCCCATAGCTCTCAGTAGTTACGACTTCATGAGCTTTTTAATGATAAAATTCTAGCTATTAGAGACAAAATTCACCAAGACCTGCTGTCATCTGGCACCAACTTATCTCTTAACTCAGGAAACTTAGAAACAGCTGTAGAACCAGATATATGTTTAGACTGTTTTGCTTCCCTCAATCTTTACCAACTAACTTCAATAATTTCTTCATCTAAACCATCAACCTGCCTCTTAGACCCCATCCCGACTAGGTTGCTTAAAGATGTTTTACCCTTAGTCAGCACTTCTATACTAGATATGATCAATCTATCTCTATCAACAGGCTATGTACCACAGTACTTTAAAGTAGCTGTAATTAAATCTCTTCTGAAAAAGCCCAAACTTGATCCGGATGTTTTAGCCAACTATAGACCTATATCTAACCTTCCATTTCTCTCTAAGATCCTGGAGAAAGCAGTTGCTAAACAGCTGTGTGACTTTCTACAGAGCAATAGTTTATTTGAGGATTTTCAGTCAGGATTTAGAGCTCATCATAGCACAGAGACAGCACTGGTGAAAATTACTAACGACCTCCTTATTGCATCAGACAAAGGACATGTCTCTGTACTGGTTTTATTAGATCTTAGATCTTGCTGCATTTGATACCGTTGACCATCAGATCCTATTGCAGAGACTGGAACATTTCATTGGCATTAAAGGAACCGCTCTAAGCTGGTTTAAGTCCTATTTATCAGATCGATTTCAGTTTGTACATGTTAATGAGTCCTCCATGCATGCCAAAGTTAGTCATGGAGTTCCACAAGGATCTGTCCTCAGACCAATCCTCTTCACTTTATATATGCTTCCTTTAGGCAATATTATCAGGAAATATTCCATAAGCTTTCATTGTTATGCAGATGATACTCAGTTATATCTATCGATCAAACCAGATGAAACTCATCAGTTAGCTAAACTTCAAATGTGCCTTCAGGATGTTAAAACCTGGATGACCTGTAATTTTCTAATGTTAAACTCAGATAAAACTGAAGTTATTGTTCTGGCCTAAGCACCTCCGTCACGCATTATCTAAAGATATAGTTTCCCTTGATGGCATCGCCCTGGCCTCTAGCACCACTGTGAGGAATCTTGGAGTTATCTTTGATCAGGACAAGTCGTTTAAGTCTCACATTAACCAAATTTCACGGACCGCCTTTTTTCACCTACGTAATATTGCGAAAATCAGGAACATCCTGTCTAAAAATGATGCAGAAAAACTAGTCCATGCATTTGTTACTTCTAGGCTGGATTACTGCAATTCTTTATTATCAGGCTGCTCGAAAAAGTCCGTTAAGACTCTTAAGCCGATCCAGAATGCTGCAGCACGTGTTCTGACAGGAACAAGGAAAAGAGATCATATTTCTCCCCAGAATGCACGGTTACTTGTGGTTCCTAGAGTCTCCAAAAGTAGACTTGGAGCCAGAGCGTTCAGCTATCAAGCTCCTCTCCTGTGGAACCAGGTTCTATTTTGTGTTCAGGAGGCAGACACCATCTCCACATTTAAGAGTAGGCTTAAGACTTTCCTCTTTGATAAAGCTTATAGTTAGGGCTGGCTCAGGTTAGTCCTGAACCATCCCTTAGTTATGCTGCTATAGGCCTAGACTGCCGGGGGATTTCCTATGATGCACTGAGCTCCTCTCTCCTCTACTTTCTCTCCCTCTGTATGCAACCTCATCCCATTTTTGCATGTTACTAACACAACTTCTCCCCTTTCTGGTAGTCTTGTGCTTTCTCGTCCCCCTCCTCTCTCCTCCTATCACTTCCTGCAGGTGTTTCTGGCTCTGGAGCTGTGAAGTCTGGATCTGTGGCTGCGGGTCACCTGCTGCCCCCGTGTTCCTGCTCGACACCCTCTGCTGCACCGACTATTGTTACTAGTCCTATTATTGTTATTATAATAATTAACACTACGACTGTTACCATTAACACTACTATAAATATCTGTACCATTTTTTCATTTAGTCTATAGCAACATCACCTTTACTGTCTGTACCTCTGTGTGTGTATATTGTGTAGGCTGCCTCCCTCCCCTCTCTCTCTCATCCCTCAAACCCGAGGCAGATGGCCGCCCACCCTGAGCCATGGTTCTGCTCGAGGTTTCTGCCTCTTAAAAGGAAGTTTTTCCTTGCCTCTGTCGCCTAGTGCTTGCTCTTGGTGGGAACTGTTGGGTTTCTGTAAATAGCATCAGAGTACAGTCTAGACCTGCTCTTTTATGAAAAGCGCTGTGAGATAACTTGTTGTGATTTGGCGCTATATAAATAAAATTGAATTGAATTGAATGTGCTTAAAGCAGCTATAATCAATATTTTTATAATGTATCAAATGACAATGTGACAAAGTGTAAAAATGGGCACTCAGGCTCCCCTCGGCTCTACGGTGCTTAATAATTGTCTGTTTGTTTAGCTGTCTGGCATGTAACCTTGCAGTTTCACTCTCACCGCTCTCATTTCTCATTGTGCTGTTTCCAGCCTAGGCAGGCAGCTGTACTGTACAGTACCTGCTGAACAGCAGACAGATACAGTTAGCAACTAGCTGGAGAACATAATGGAGCAATTAGCAGCTAAAGAGCCAGATATTTCCCTCAAGAGTTGGAAGAGATCAAAAGAGTAAATGTTGATTATTAGGTGACCAGAAACACGAGTCACAATGAATGGAAATGTTGCTCCCCCGCGCTTGGCGGTTGTGTGAATAAACAATTTGCTAACAAGTTCAGATAACTGAGAGTTATGTTATTTCTTGGTACTCTAAATATCCAACAGCTCTGGTAATCTTTCTTAGAAATGTAACCTTTTCAAAATGAATGACCTACAACTTCAAAAAGATCATAAATTAAGAAGCATAAGGGGCACTTTTTTATGGAAAGGAAAAAGATTTAGCTGGAAGGCAGTGCTTTATTACATATCACAAAGCCTAAAAAAATAAAATAAATAAAAAAAAAAAAAACACCCACTTCCAATGGTAAGACAAGTTGTTGAGTAAAGTGGAAGTAGAAACTTAAGCATCCAACATAAATGCTTGTCAAAGATGAACCTTTGGGTGGAATGGCAGTTGAGTTATAGCATCTGTCAGGAAAACTGCTTTTCATAAGCTTAAGGTTTTCTGAGGATAGGTCTCATTAGCCAAACACCAGTGTTAGCTGGACAGTCTTCTGAAAGCAAAAAGTTACATCAAATCAGCCAACTTTAATTATCAGGAGAGTACCTTGGCGAGAGGTGATTTCTAAAGCATCGTTATCAAACAACAGAAAAGCTGGCCACACTAAGGACCAGCCAAAGACATTTTTACAGGGCTAACCACTTACTCGACATGTCTCCCAGGCAAGCTGATCTCCACAAGCACACGCTTTCCTGAGGAGAAGGCTAATTAGCTAAATACCATACACCTGTGTGGGATGGATAGTCTTTTAAAGAAGTCATGAAAGCCTTCAATTTGGACAATCAGTTCTCCACCCATCAATTAAGCATTAGCTGTTGTAACTTCTACATTTTGCCACAAGCCTACTCACTCTCAAACTATAAAACTCTAACCCACAGATGTATAATTTATGTGTCAAAAGTGGAAACAGTGAGCAGTTTTAATATTTTTCTTGTTTGTTTTTTAAGAACATTTCTAAGAACATGAATGTGCTTTGCTGAAGCAAGCACACTAATTATGGCTTTTGCAATTATCCACTGATTTTTCAGGTGGGGAGTGTAGTAGTACTTTCCTCACCTTCTAAGCTAAATTAAGTCACCATCTGTGAAAAGTTTTTATTCTTTGTAGCATTGATCCCTTGCTTAATGGCTTCTAAATGCTGAAACAATTGTTTTAGTTCAAATGCATCGGTTTGACTGAGCAGAGCCTGGAGTGACAACCTTACAGCCGTTCTGACAGCACCCAATTACAGTAAATTGGATCAATCTCTAACTCCGTAATGATTTTATGTAGCAACTTTCGCTGTGTTGTCTTCATCTTCAGAGCTTGCCAACTCTGGTCTTCACTCATCAGTCCATCTGAAGCTGAAGGTAATTAAGAGGCTTTTCCATTTCTGACTGAAAAAAAACATAATTATTATGGAAAATAAGGTAATGCGATATTTTTGTCTCACGTCATTGTAACCCTGTTTTGCTCTACAAGCCTGGGGAACAGGGCCTTAAATTTGTTTACTTACTCAACAGTGATTATTTTTTACTGTATTACTCAGATGTATTGAGTGGGTGACTGTCTACGTGCTAAAGAAATAAGACTATTAAGCTATGTGTGTGGGATCTTATAACACACCCTCAACACCCCGCTAACCATGGACAATAGTCACATGAACCACATTTAAACATTCTTTAAAGTATCAATTAAGCACATTTATTATACTAAAATGAAGGTCTGAATAAAGGAAAACTCAACAAATTGTATAGTGCCTAAATGCCCATATTGGCAATTCTCACCAAAACAAATACACCAGTTGAGTATGGTAAGTACATAACTCAATCTCACTACTTATTACTTCTTGAACCTTGGAAAAGACCTTGAATGTGTATAAAACTTTCAGTAGGCATTTATACTTAAGTTGAACTATTCAAACCTACACAACATGTAACTGCTCTTGAAATACTGGGGGGCCTGCGTATAATGAAAAACAAACAAAAGTGCTGGCAAAGTTCTTAAATTGTAAAGAAAGCCTGATTGTTCCCGAGGTGCCTTGTGCCAAAATAAAGATGACATCCGCTTACAGTGACCATCAGTGAAAAGCGTGTTACTCACCACCCCAAAGTCTGATTTACCACAGTCCTCGATCCGCAGGAAAACAGCTCCTCACACCAGTCACTTGGCAGCAGGCCTAGATAAAGTATCTCTCCCGCCAACGGTGCAGCAGGTTTCCTCTCGTCCGGGTGGGTGATGAAATCCACGCAGATGCAGTCCAACTATTAGCCCCAAGGCTAACAAAGTCCAGAGTCCATACACACTATAACTCAGCGATAGCGTGGCTATCATGAGTCCATACACGCAATAACTTGAAGGTAGCGTGCGAAAATTCTGCAGAGGAAACAGAATTAAACTTTCAGCTTCTATAATCCATGTTTAGACGCTCTGATGGAGCTCAGGATTGATCAGAAGGATGACTGCTTTACTCCAAACAGTTTTACTGTATGAACATGGACTGTGTGTGAGACCTTTTGGATGTGTAGAAGAACACAGAACATGAATTAACATCAGATCTTGCTAAGTCCTTTTGGCGTTTTGGGAGATATAATTATTAATTTATGTTGCTGTGGCTTCTGCATAAATGCGCACAGCTAGAGAGACTCTTTATCCTGCCAGCCGCTATTCAGTGTTCATTTTTATAATACTGCCTGCCCATCCACACATCACATTCAACAACATTAACATCAGTGATATGAAAGTGAATGCGACATTAAGGAATGCAGTTAGAACAGTGCTTTACAGGTGCTACACAAACGGTGAAGGGCAGAAAGCTTGATCACGCATCCGATCAATTTAAATAGGCTTAACTAATACAACTTATGATTACAACAGGAACCCTGTAGAGTCCTGCTCCGGCCATGGGTTGGTCCAGCTGCATGTCACGCCTCTTTTAAACGTGAGCGGCTGAACAGTCTTCCGCTAAGAATACACCAGTGTATTCTCACTTATAGCTCCTCCAGCAAGCCTCCTCGATCCACGCTTCACGAGGCCCATTTTAGGAATTGAGATGTCCTTCATAACGGCGCGTTGAAATTGATTTCCAGGTCACGCATTAATTAATTAATCAATTTGTCATTGCCTATTTGTAAAGGGGTTGTAACCTCACAAAAATTAACCATTCGTCGGCTTTTCTTGATTTACTTCAAAAGTGATTTCTGTGTGTGAGTTTTCAGTTTCATTGAAATGTGTCAAATTTACTTTTGCGGGTATACTGTCCTACTACATGTACTCTTTGTGGGTGGAAATCTACGACTCAATGATTTGTCAGGTTACCCTGGCTGGTGCCCAAAACAAATAATTAAAAGTTGTTGTGTATATTAAACCCAGAACTGCCACAAAATGAGAATCATTATATGGACTATTATCTGAAAACATATTTTATAGCACATAAAACAGTTACTGCAGCCTCTTGAGATACATACATACATACATTTGTCTAGCTTTGTTTCCTGTCTGCCTTTATTCCTCGTGTCTCACTTGACTAATTACCCTGCCTGCTTGCATGTGTGGCGTGTCCCAATGTGCCCTCAGTTGTGTCCAGTCTTTGTTGTGTTGTAGTCCAATGTTGAGTGTCTGCTTTGTGCTCTGTTTTCCCTGAATTTCTAAATTGTTCCTTTTGTGTTTGGATTGTCTTGCCTTTTTTGGACTTACCCATGTGTTTGGATTAATTTGCCTTTTAATTTGGACTTCCTGTAAGTGAGTATTATCATTTAAATAAACCTGCAAACTTATCCAGCCTTACTAGTGTCTGCATTTTGTCTGCCGTTGCACTCAGCCTTTCTGATATAGATAATGCTTCCACAAGTATGTCTTTTGAACTATATTGAACTTGAGTCTGATTTTGACATAATAAGGGATGAGACTGTTGCTGCTAGGTTTTTACATTCTGGTGGACATACTCAGACTTTGACCTTCAGGAATATGACTGACACTTTTATATGCTACAAACAATTATCCGAATTGACTTGGATTTGCAAAAAGGCCAAAAATGTCAATATGCATCAACTATATTAAGAAGGTGAATTTATACAAACATTTTAAGGGTTACAATCAGGGGGGATGGAATCTATGTAATTTTTATAATGGTGAAACATGAAAAGATATATGTATCAGGAGCTAGTAAGACGAAAAGAAATTGGCAAAGGAGTCAATTTGAGAGAGAGAGAGAGATAGTACAGTATCAGCTATTACAATCACAAGCCTTCCATGAATGGGGGGGGGGAGATTCATTGTGGTATTTCAAATGCAATTGTGTGTTAATACCTACAACAATATAATATTATGTATACATAGGTAAAAAAGTATGAGAAAACAAAGTTGTTTTAATATCTCAGGAGGAAACCTGAGATGTCTATACAAAGGCATGTTTGCGGTATGTTAAAGAACCAGTATTAAAAATCTCAATACAAGCGGATTGAATTGTTGCAGTTTTGGTTGATTCAGTAGGCTTTGAGAAGATAAAATAAGCTTATGCAAATGATCTCAAAGTGCACAAAACTTCCATTAGTTATCCAAGTATCTATTTCATTTGTTTTGGGGGGCAATATTGGTGGATTTGGTAACAACTGCAGTGCCTGTTGGTCACATCAATATTGCACACTTTCATCTGGAACAAAATATAGTATAGACAGAAGGAGCGGCAACATGCCTTGCAGCATCCACTCTGCCGTGAGATTCATTAGGAGCAGAAGACAAACACATTTGTACAGAAAATACCAGCAACAAACCATCATGGTTAAACTGGGAAAGTGTTTTATATAGAAGTCAGTGTCAGATTGTCTTCTTACTTACATTATTCAGCTACTGTTTCATTAGCCATTAGCATAGTCTCCACTAGTTCCTCTCTTCTGTGTTTGTTTGACAGTATTGCATATTTGTGTACGGCTCATTCCCTGTGCGTGCATCAAATTTACATATTTACTGGGACCCACCAGCACCCAGGACGACTAACACATACAGTACAGGAAGCACTTACAGAATGCAAATACTGCATCGGCCTGAATATAACCTTCATTATAAGACTCACTATAGTGTAGAAAGATATACAGTATTTAACATATTTTATACATTGTCACATTTAAATAAAAGTTAAGAAAAAACAAGCAACAAAAATAAAGTTACATGCATGTTACATATATAAATTGAGTTGTTCACTGATACAGTGGCATGAAAAACTGTAGCCTATCTCAAAGTCTTCGGTCTCCAGTGGTTGGCATTGTGCATTCTACTTTTCAGTCACATATAAAGACACACATGTAAAGTTCTTGGAGGCAGCTAGTTTTGGGGCCACAGAGAGATTTCCTTTGACTGGATTTTTAAGACCGTCTTTTAGGATTTGCCTTCTTCAACCATAACGTTGTGTTACAGTATATTTATTGGCCAGTCCATTTTTGTAGAGAAGATGTCGGGAGACACTCTATAATTCTAGACAAAGCTTTGAGTTTGGAGCCTCAGTTTCTTATGAAAGCTGAAATTTTGACACACCAGAAATGGACAACTCTGCAATTTGACATTACTGTTTGGTCTGGTCAAGAGCTGGAAGTAATGTATTGTTTTTATCTTATTTTACCAATCTTATTTATTATAGTTGTTGCAATGTTGGACGAGGTTGCTGACGTACCGAGGTAAGCGTGTCGACTCATTTCTGTTTTCGGTGCTTGTGTGTTGGTACCGTGTTGTGCTGCTCTCGCTAAATACCAGTTAAATTTGTTACATTACAGCAGCCAACTGTCCGCTAAACACTTATTCTTACAGTAATTTTGCCTAAGCACTCACAGTTCTTTCCATCTTTAGTGACTGCTGTTTAATCTCATAGTTGTTTTCAAAAGTTTTGGTAGCTACCGCTACAGTACTTTAGCGATGGCTTCTCCTACCTCTTTCTCCTGCTCGGTGTGTCAGATGTTCAGTTACTCCTCTGCCTCCTTTAGCAATAATAGTACGTGTAATAAGTATAGTTTATTTATAGACATGGAGGCGAGGCTCAGTGATTTAGAAGTCCGGCTCCGCACCTTGGTAGATCAGTCTTTAGCTACTGTAGCTAGCCAGTCCCTGGTAGTCGGTGCGGAACAGCCTGAGTTAGCCTGTGGTAGCCGTCCCTCGTCATCTCCTGTGCAGCCAGGAAGGGGTGGCTGGATGATTGTCAGAAGGAGGAATAGTCGTAAGCATTCAAAGCCCACGGGTCATCACCAACCTGTTCGCGTCTCTAACAGATTTTCCCCACTCAGCGACACACCCGCTGAGAAACCAACTCTGATCATTGGCAGCTACATTTTGAGAAACGTGAAGTTAGCGAAGCCAGCGGCCATAGTTAAGTGCATCCCTGGGGCCAGAGCGGGCAACATTGAGTCTTATTTGAAACTGCTGGCTAAGGATAAACGTAAATACAGTAAGAATATATATACGGTAATGACTCCCGGTTATGCCAATCAGAGGTCACTAAGATTAATGTTGAGTCGGTGTGTACATATGCAAAAACAATGTCGGACACCGTAGTTTTCTCTGGACCCCTGCCAAATCTGACCAGTTATGACATGTATAGCTGCATATCGTCATTCCGCCGCTGGTTGTCAAGGTGGTGTCCAGCAAACGATGTGGACTTTGTAGATCATTGGCAGACCTTCTGGGGAAGACCTGGTCTGATTCGGAGAGACAGCATCCATCCCACTTGGGAAGGAGCAGCTCTCATTTCTAGAAAACTGGCCAAGTTTATTAATGGACCAAATCCATGATAACCCAGAGTCTAACACACTTCTCTGCTCCTCCATTTCAGGAGTTACTTAGTGAAAATCCTATAGTGACGGTGTCTGTCCCCCCACCATCGAAATTATTGAAAAAGGTAAACAGAAGAGGAGCTGTGCATAAAAAACCTCATAAAAATTAAAACCACAAGAGCAATAGTGCAAACTAATAGGAAAATTAAATGTGGATCTCTCTCTTCTAAAGGTGTACTAGTAAATTAACAAATATCAGATTATATTGATTTATTTTGTCTTACTGAAACCTGGCTGGGTGATGGAGAATATGTTGGCCTAAATGAGTCCACCACTCCCAGTCATATTAATACCTACTTAATAGGTGGAGTTGCAGCTATCTTCGACTCTAGCCTACTAATCAGCTCTAGACCTAAACTAAATTATAACTCATTTGAAAGCCTTGTTCTTGGTCTTTCGCACCCAAGTTGGAAATCACTGCAACCAATTCTTTTCGTTATAGTGTACCCGAGCACCTGGTCCGTACTCTGAATTCTTATCTGAATTTGCAGAGATTTTGTCAACTTTAGTCCTTAAAACGGAAAAAGTTATTATTGTAGGGGATTTTAA